ATCATATTACCCCTATTCTGGTGTCCTTGCACTGGCCACCCATTAGGTTTCGCATAGACTTTAAGATCCTATTGCTCACCTATAAGGCTCTTCGTGGCTTAGCACCTCATTATCTGTCTGAACTTTTATCAACTTACTCCCCACCTCATAACCTCCACTCCTCGAATTCCGGTCTTCTGTATGTCTCTCCTACTCCCCTACACTTGATGCGAGACAGAGCCTTCTCCTGCTATGCCCCAAAAACTCAGGAATTCACTTCCAAAGAACATCAGAGATTCATCTTCTCTAAACTCATTCAATTAAAATCTAAAAACTTTTTTTCTTCAGACAAGCTTTCTCATAACTGTCCCTTTTCTCTTTTGTTTTATCTTGTGTATTTCTTGTGTTTTTGTTTCCCTTTTCTTTGTAAAGTGCTTTGAGAAGCTACCTTAAAATACACTATATAAAATAAAGTTGTTATTATTATTACATTTTTGGTATTACTGTGATCATCAGGAGTTAGAGAATTTATTTCTGGTTGTTCTTTGGTGGTAGGGTATGGAAATATCCAGAAATATGCAGCTAAATTTAAATATATACAGTAGAGTTAAGGAAATTAGTATTTGATCCCCTGCTGATTTTGAATGTTTGCCCAATCACAAAGAAATTATCAGTCTAAAAATTGAATGGTAGGTGTATTGTAACACTGAGAGACAAATAACAACAAAAAATTCAAAAGAAATGCATGTCTAATAAATTATGCACTGATTTGCATGTTCATGTGGGAAATAAGTATTTGATCTCCTATCATTCAGCAGGATTTCTGGCTACTAGGTGTCTTTCATACAGGTAACAAGCTGAGAATAGAAGCAGTCTCTTAAAGGGAGTGCTGCTAATCTCATTTTGTTACCTGTATAAAAAACACTTGTCCACAGGAGCAATCAAACAATCAGATTCCAAACTCCAAACTCCACCATGGCAAAGACCAAAGAGCTTACTCTATTAGGAGATGATAACCACCTTCCTCATATAAGGACTATCAGTTGCTTTAATCTGCAGTCTGGGTACCCCCTTTTGGGATTGATTTTATATTATGTTATATATACAGAGCAGCCTATTATGCATTTTGTGTGAATTCCAATTATCCTAATCCATACATAGTGACCTCAGCTGTTAAAATGCATCTTTACATGTTCAGGTTGGTTTTTAGTATAATACTATGTCCTCTTTTTCTTCCCTTACAACCAACCCCTGCCGCCAATGCATGAAATTTAGATATGTATTTTCTTGGTACAACCCTAGGCTTGTTACCATCTATGGTCTTAATTAATATGTAGTGACTCTACCTAGAAAGTGCTTTTTCATTTTCAGGTTGAATTTTAGTATAATGTTCTTTTCTAAGTTTTGAATATAATGTGATATTATCGCCTTTCAGCTTACTCGTTTCCCTCTTAAGGCCTCTCCCTATAGTACACCACTATGCTTGTCCCCCAGGAGATCAAGTGATATGGGGCTTCCATATACTGTAGTTTCTGAGTTCTCTTTAGTCGCAGTGAGCATTTCGATTTGGCTTGTACACTGTAACATTTATGTATCATTATCTTGTATGTGTAATGTATGGATTATAACTCTATGTTTAATGGTAGATTTACTATATCTCCCTCTTTCCTGAAGAAGCAGTTAATTATCCATGAAACGCATAGAGAAATACAGGAATTCCCTCCTTGGACACCCTACCACCGATGCATAATTTGATTATGCCTTGAGGATTTTGTATTAGTTACTCTGTGAAACAAATTGGGGTTCCAAGGAGATTTAGCTGCATGAAAGAGCGAAATTCCAGATAGTATGTGTATCAATGAATAAACAATTGTTCCAAAATCTGTCTCAATTTGTCTCCCACAGTACTGTTCCCCATATTCCTAAACTTTCTGTAAACTGGCTCTCTGTTTCACCACAAGAACCCTGGCATGAAAACTCTCACAATTGGCTGCAGAGCATTCTCATAGAATCTCAAGCACCTTGCTTTCCTGGGAGGTAGCGACAAGGCATGGTAATGTGAAAGTGAATTTGTTTCACTTTTTTTTTTTTTGTACGCACTTAATTGTTTAGGTTTTTTTCCCAACCTATTCTGTTTCTACTTCTGCTTTGGAGATGCAGTACTGCTGACTGTAGAGTAGTCCTTCCAATTTCAGGAAAACTCTACTTTAAAAGTGCAAAAGTGGCTATTTTGAGTCTATTATTTTCTTAATCTGTATTTTATACCTCTAACACAATAGGGAAATAGAGTTAAATAACAATTCTACAAATTAAAAGAGACAGTATCACAAGCATACCTCTAATAACAAAATATACCACAAGTTTACAAAAAAAACATGAAAAGGACAAAAAAATATTTTTAATTCATTTTGCGGATGGTTATTCTATTTAGATTATAATGTTTTTATCACTTTATGCGTGATGCAAGCTAAGTTATATTTTAGATATGTAAAATTCCCAAACTTGCCCGTTCTGAAATGGACCCAGAGGGGGGACACAAACGTAAACGTAGCTGTGCTTTCCAAATATTGTATTATGCTTTAATCACAATATATACTTTTGAATTTTGGAGTCCTGTGTTCATTCAGGCTGTGGATCAGAAGGCCTATCAGATCTCTGCACCTGGTAGTTAGTTACTTTTCTGCAATGCCTTACTACCTATGTCTATGTACACCTGCATACCCAGCAAAACTAGAAAACTCCTGCTTTCTACTCATACTGAAAAAGCATAATTTGTGAGTTTTAACATTTAATTGATTTTTGTTTCATATGGATTCCAGTAAACTGCAATAAATGGGCTTAGTGACTCATTGTAGTTATATGATTCTGGAACTCACAGTACATTTACTGTAGCATAGCATACGCTGGGTAGAATATGGAATATTATTTAGTGAATCAGTATAAAGGGCACCTTTAGGCGCTAAAAGTAAAAGTACTCTTGTACTGCTTTATTTTTGGCAGGAGGTTGTTTGCTTTTTGGGCATGTCACCATGGACTGTTCTCATTTGTTTGGCTCATTATGCCGTGAAAACACATGACAGAACATGGACAAATTAAAATACTGCATGCTGCATGTCCACGCCATTAATACAGTTTGCGTGCACAAATTAACCATTTCACATAGGAAGTGATAATCCATATTTCAAGCTTTGTTTATGTGCAGTGGATGGAATGGATGCCATGGATGACATGAAAGCAAATGTTTAAAGTATGTTATATAGTCACAGTGCTTCCAAATGACTGTGACTCCTAGTATGCTTTAAACATTTGGCATGTACAGTGCCTTGAAAAAGTATTCATACCTCTTGAAATTTTCCACACTTTGTCATGTTACAACCAAAAATGTAAATGTATTTTATTGGGATTTTATGTGATAGACCAACACAAAGTGGCACATAATTGTGAAGTTGAAGGAAAATTATAAATGGTTTTAAAACATTTTTACAAATAAATATCTGAAAAGTGTGGCGTGCATTTGTATTCAGCCCCCCTGAGTCAATACTTTGTAGAACCACCTTTCGCTGCAATTCCAGCTGCAAGTCTTTTTGGGTACGTCTACCAGCTTTGCACATCTAGAGTGAAATTTTTGCCCATTTTTCTTTGCAAAATAGCTCAAGCTCTGTCAGATTGGATGGAGAGTGTTTGTGAACAGCACTTTTCAAGTCTTGCCACAGATTCTCAATTGGATTTAGGTCTGGACTTTGACTGGGCCATTCTAACACATAAATATGCTTTGATCTAAACCATTCCATTGTAGCTCTGGCTGTATGTTTAGGGTCGTTGTCCTGCTGGAAGGTGAACCTTCATCCCAGTCTCAAGTCTTTTGCAGACTCTAACAGGTTTTTTTCTAAGATTACTCTGTATTTGGTTCCATCCATTTTCCCATCAACTCTGACCAGCTTCCCTGTCACTGCTGAAGAAAAGCATCCCCACAACATGATGCTGCCACCACCATGTTTTACGGTGGAGATGGTGTGTTCAGGGTGATGTGCATGGTTAGTTTTCCGCTACACAGAGTGCTTTGCTTGTAGACCAAAAAGTTAAATTTTGGTATCATCTGACCAGAGCACCTTCTTCCACATGTTTGTTATGTCCCCCACATGGCTTCTCACAAACTGCAAATGGGACTTCTTATGGCATTCTTTTAACAATAGCTTTCTTCTTGCCACTCTTTCATAAAGGCCAGATTTGTGGAGTGCACGACTGTCCTGTAGACAGAATCTCCCACCTGAGCTGTAGATCTCTGCAGCTCCTCCAGAGTTACCATTGGCCTCTTGGCTGCTTCTCTGATTAATGCTCTCCTTGCTGTCAGTTTAGGTGGACGGCCATGTCTCGGTAGCTTTGCAGTTGTGCCATACTCTTTCCATTTTCGGATGATGGATTGAACAGCGCTCTGTAGGATGTTCAAAGCTTGGGATATTTTATTATAACCTAACCCAGCTTTAAACTTCTCCACAACTTTATCCCTGACCTGTCTGATATGTTCCTTGGCCTCATGATGCTATTTGTTCACTAATATTCTCTAACAAATCTGAGGGCATCACAGAACAGCTGTATTTATACTGAGATTAAATTACACGCAGGTGGACTATATTTACTAATTAGGTGACTTCTTAAGAGAATTGGTTCCACTTGATTTTAGTTGGGTGTATCAGAGTAAAGGGGGCTGAATACAAATGCATGCCACACTTTTCACATATATATTTGTAAAAAATGTTGACATTACAAAATGTGGAAAATTTTCAATGGGTATGAATACTTTTTCAAGGCACTGTAGATATTAACCGCCTCCCTCCCGCCATATAAGGCAATAACAGGCGCAAGGCGGTTCTCTCGTTCTGGGAGGACGTCATATGACGTCCTCCCACTCTAACTGCGCGTGTGCGGCTCCGGGAGCGCGCAGCGCAGCAATCGGTGGTGCGCTGTGTCCCTCGGACACAGCAGATCACCGATCAACGGAAAGAGCCGAAGATGTTGGCTTGGTCATGTGATCAGCTGTGTCCAATCACAGCTGATCGCATGTAAATAGGGAAATGCTGGTTATCGGCATTTCTCTCCACTCGAGCTGTCACGCTGACAGCTCGATAGGAGAGCCGGTGATCGTCATTCCTCAGGTAGGACATGTACACTGATCATCAGGGCACTGATGATCAGTGTGCCCTGTTGATCAGTGTAGCCCCAGCAGTGCCACCTGTCAGTGTCCATCAATGCCAGCTGTCAGTGCTCATCAGTGCCACATGCCAGTGCCCATCAGTGCAACATCAATGCCACATATCAGTGCCTACCAGTGCACATCAATGCCACATATCAGTGCTCATCTGAGCTGCCAGTCAGTGCCACCCATCAGTGCCAGTCAGTGCTGCCAATCAGTGCCACCTATCAGTGCCAGTCAGTGTCACCTATCAGTGTGCTCAGTGCCGCCTATCAGTGCCCGTCAGTGCTGCCAGTCAGTGCCGCCTAACAGTGCCATCATGCCGCCTAACAGTGCCAGTCAGTGCCACCTATCTGCCGCCTTCAGTGCCATATGAGTGCTGCCTTTCAGTGATGTCTGTCAATGCCCATCAGTGGCACCTACCAGTGCCTCCTCATTAGTACCCATCAGTGCCACCTATCAGTGCACCTATTAGTGCCCATCACTGCAGCCTCATTAGTGAAAATCAGTGAAGAAGAAAAATCATTATTTACAAAATTTTAAAACAAAAACTAAGAACTTATTTTTTTTTACATTTTCAGTTGTTTTTGGTTTGTTTAGCAAAAAATAAAAAACCCAGAGGTGATTAAATACCACCAAAAGAAAGCTCTATCTGTCTCAAAAAAATTATACAAATTTCATATGGGTACAGTGTTGCATGACCGTGCAATTGTCATTTAAACTGTGACAGCGGTGAAAGCTGAAAATTGGCCTGGCAGGGCAGGAAGGGGGTATAAGTGCCCTGCAAGCTAGTGGTTAAATATCCTGTTATTTTTTCTAGGTGATAAGAAGCTATCATTTTAAATCATTTCCAGGGACATTCTTCTCTTGAGATAGTGTACTTATGCATTATGCCCAGTACTGTTTCAGAGAACCTTACTTATGTGGCTCCTAAGGCTCCATTCACAATTGTGCGACTCCAAAGTAGTGCGATTTTCATTGCGACTTTCCATTGCATCTTTGATGCAACTTCGTTGCAGCTTTACGTGCGTGCTTGCGACTTGGATGTGACTTTGATGCAACTTCTGTTACATGCTTGCGACTTGGATGTTTGGCTGTTGACTTTGGTTTGACTCTTGCACAACTTTCACATTGATAACATTAAGATACGACTTTTATGTGACTTTTGAGAGTTTACATTGCAGTCTACGGCACTCAGGTTGCATGAAAGCCGCATCAAAGTAGTACAAGGACCTTTTTGAAGTTGCTGTGACTTTAAGTTGCATAGATTTGGACGACTTCCATTGAAATACATGGGATGCGGCTTGTCATGCGACTGTGTCCAAAGTTGCACAAGGCACACAAGTGTGAATGGAGCCTAAAGCCATAGTACAAAATAAATTATAAATAAGTATCATTTCAACATCAGGTGACTGGTGTGGATGGTTTTCAGTGCAAAGAGAGAGATACCCTACCTTAAGGTATAGCCTCACACTAACCTTCCTTTAATCCTAACACTGACCCACCCTGTAACACTAATCTTCCTATAACCCTTACATCAATCTTACCAGACCCGGACTGGCCATAGGGCACACCGGGCATTTACCCGATGGGCTAGGGCCGCCAGGATAGAAGAGGCGGTCGGGCGGCACATAAATGACCGTGCAGTTCTCGGTTCCTCTATATGCCGCCTCTCCTATCCATCTCCTGCAAGAGATCGGCTCCTGTATGCTCCCTCACTGCTGCCCCCCATCTCCTCCAGCGGCCCCTCTCCTCATCTCCTCCAGCGGGCCCCCTCCCTCATCTTCTCCAGCACCCCCCATCTCCTCCAGCACCCCCATCTCCTCCTGTGGCACCCTCCCTCATCTCTTCCAGTTGCCCCTCTCATCTCCTCCAGCGGCTCACTCCTCATCTCCTCCAGCGGCCCCCCCCCCTCATCTCCTCCAGCACCCCTCCTCATCTCCTCCAGCGGCCCCCTCCCTCATCTCCTCTAGCGGCCCCCCTCCATCTCCAGTGGCTCCCCCCCTCTTCTTCTCCAGCACCCCCCTCATCTCCAGCGGCCGCCCACCTCATCTCCTCTAGCACCCCCCCTCATCTCCTCCTGCGGACCTCCCTCATCTCCTCCAGTGGACACCCCCCCCCCCCCCACATCTCATCCAGCTCTCCGGGGATCTGTCAACATATGTCTTCTCTTCCCCCTTTCTTCTTTCTCTCTCTCTTTCTGTCTCCTATTTCTCTTCTTTCTTTCTTTCTCTTTCTCTCTCTCTCTCTCCTCTAATTCTCTCTTTCTTTCTTTCTTTCGTTTCTTTCTTTCTTTCTTTCTTTCTCTTTTCTTTCTTTCTCCTGCTTCTCTTTCCTACCTTCCTTCTTTCTTTCTCTTCTTCCTTTCTTTCTTTCCTTCTTCCTTTCTTTATTCTTTCTCTTCTTCTTTCTTTCTTTCTTTCTCTTCTCTCTTTCTTTCTTTTTTCTTTCTCTTCTCTCTTTCTTCTCTTCTCTTCTCTCCTTTCTTTCTCTTCTCTTCTTCTTTCTTTTTCTCTTCTCTCTCTCCTTCTTTCTCTTCTCTTCTTCCTTTCTTTCTTTCTTTCTTTCTCTTTCTCTTTCTTTCTCTTTTCTTTCTTTCTTCTTTCTCTTTCTTTCTTTCTTTCTTCTTTTCTTTTCTTTCTTTCTTTCTCTTCTTCTCTCCTTTTTTTCTTTCTCTCTCTTCTTCTCTCCTTTCTTCTTTCTTTCTTCTCTTTTTTTCTTTCTCTCTCTTTCTCTCTTCTCTCTCTCTCTCTTTCTTTCTCTCTCTTCTTTCTTTCTTTCTCTCTCTCTTCTCTTTCTTTCTCTCTCTTCTCTCCTTTCTTCTCTCTTTCTTTCTCTCTTCTCTCTTTTCTTCCTTTCTTTCCCTGCTTCTATTTCTTTCTCTTCTCTCTTCTTTCTTCTTCTCTCTTTCTCTTTCCTCTTTTCTTTCTTTCTTCTTTCTCTCTCTCTTTCCCTTCTTCTTATTTCTTTCTCTTTCCTTCTTTCTTTCTATATGTGTTTCTTTCTTTCTTTCTTTCTTTCTTTCTTTCTTTCTTCTTTCTTTCTTTTTTTTTCTTTCTTTCTTTGTTTGTTTCTTTCTTTCTTTCTTTCTTTTTCTCTCTCTTTCTTTCTTTGTTTTCTCTTTCCTTTCTTCCTTTTTTTCTTTCTCTTCTTTTCCTCTTTCTTCTTCCTTCCCTCTTTCTTTCTCTCTTTCCCTCCTTCTTTCTTTCCCTTCTATACATCTTTTTTCTCTCTCTATTGTTTCCTCTCTCTTTCCTTTCTTTCTTTTCTTCTTTCATTTTTTTTTTCTTTCTTTCTTTCTCCCTCTTTCTTTCTTTCTTTCTTTCTTTCTTTCTTTCTTTCTTTCTTTCTTTCTTTCTTTCTTTCTTTCTTTCACCTTTCTTGACACTAGTGGCAGAAATACCAGGGTCACAAAGGTCGCTCTTGCGACCGGACCCTGGCGCTCCACCACCAGGCTCCGAGGAAAGGGTCACCGGGCTTTGGGTTGCTCTGTCCAAAGTGCCCAGGCCTATTTTTTGTCCCAGTCCGGGCCTGAATCCTACTGTAATTCTAACAGTATTCCACACATGAACCTTCCAGTAACTATAACACTAAGCTAGTGGGCTGAAAGGAAAAAAAAAACACATTCCTTCATCTGTCTTGTTTGTGTGAATAGAGGAATCTGGGTTTTTTTTCCCCCACTGGGACATTGTATTCCAACATCGGCACTGGCCACCATCACAATACACTGATCAGCGGATGTAGCTGATTGGCTGCAGCCACTGATTGATGGAAAATTTCTAAGGCTCCTTTCACACGGGAGTTCCACTTTTTTCATCAGATCAGTCATATTTTTCCAAGAAAAAAACGGATCAGTTCACATCAGTTTTTCTCATCAGTTTTTCATCAGTTTCTCATCAGTTTTTTCTCATCAGTTTCTCATCAGTTTCTCATCACCGTTTTTGTCCGTTTTTATGTCTGTTTCCATCCGTTTTTTGTCCGTTTTATGTCTGTTTCCATCCATTTTTTGTTGTTTTACCGTTTTATCGTTTTTTTGTCTGTTTACATCCGTTTTACATCGTTTTATGTCTGTTTCCATCCGTTGTTGTCCGTTTACATGTCTGTTTCCATCCGTTCCAATTTTTTTAACGGAAGAAAAATAGGGTTTTCTTCCGTAAAAAAAAAAAAAAAAAACGGATGTTAACGGATGCGGACATTAATAGATGTAAACAGATGATAATCTGTTTACATCCGCTGGATAGTCCATAGAAAAACATGGGTGTCTGTTTTTCATGCGTAAATGGACAGATGAAAAACGGACATATGGAAAGCCCGTGTGAAAGGGGCCATAGGATTTTCTTCTGTAAGAGAAGAGAAGAGGAGATTAAGGGGGGATATGATCAACATGTATAAATACATCAGTGGTTCATATAGTGAACTCGGTGTAGAGCTATTTACCCTGAGGTCACCACAGAGGACAAGGGGCACTCTTTGTCTGGAGGAAAAGAAATTTAAACTCCAAACATGGAAAGGTTTCTTCACAGTGAGAGCTGTGCAAATGTGGAATAGACTCCCTCAAGAGTTGGTTCTGACCAGCTTAGTGGATTGCTTTAAAAAAGACCTGAATTCTTTCTTAGATACACAGAATATAACTGGATACTAACATTTATAGGTGAAGTTGATCCAAGGAATATCCGATTGCCTCTCGGGGGATCAGGAAGGATTTTTTTTTTCCCTGCAGGAGCAAATTGGATCATGCTTTGCTGGGTTTTTTTTGCCTTCCTCTGGATCAACTGTGGGTATAGGATTATAACTTTTTTTTGTAATGGTTGAACTGGATGGACTTTTGTCTCTTTTCAGCCAGACTATGTAGCTATGTAAAAAAAAAAAAAGGATGTTAACGGATGCAGACATTAACAGATGTAAACAGATGATCATCCGTTTACATCTGCTAGTCCATAGAAATACATGGGTGTCCCTTTTTTCATCCGTAAAGGGACAGATGAAAAACGGACATATGGAACACCTGTGTGAAAGGGGCCTTTACATGTACCTTCCAACATGTAGATCAGCCCACACACTGATCAAAATTGGGACCAGACAAATTTCAGTCAGTGTATGGCCATATTTAGGCTTTTGCATGATACTGTATGAAAAAGCTGCTTTTATGTCTCTGTTGCCTGCAGGCATGAGTCTGCTGTGTCTAATGGTCAATATGGCTTTCTTAGTAACTCTTTCTTTCACATACATGATGGCTATTGTTTAAGGGTTTGTACTCCTTTTGGAGACAGATGAAAGTTAGCAAGAAAAACAAATGCACTATGAAAACAAAGATGACCAGTCAGTAAAAATCCAGGCTATTTGTTTTTTATACAATGAGCCAGATAATTTCAGGTTGAAATAACAAAACTATCAGTTGACAGACTGATCTTCAATCAGATCTCTTAGCTAAGAAGCATACAAACAGCCCTTCTGAACGTTGAATATGTACAATTTTTTCTGTTGAAATTGCTATAATGTGAGGTGTGGAATTTTGAGAAAAATGTTGTGCTATCTGGACATGAGGCAAATCCATGGGGCCTGTGTACAAGTAATAGAAATTCCTGCATTTCCTGAAATAGAGCCAATTTTCCTGCTCCAAGAAAAAGTAGTCCACTCACCTTGATGAAGATGGCAGATAATGGCATTCATTATGCCATGTTAGATTAGGGTAACACCTACACAGTGTGCCAGGATATGCTGGCAGCTATGCAGTAGGCTCTAGAAATCAGTAGTAAGATCATAACATATTTTTATGGAAAATTATTGAGTGACCATTTATTCAGTAGTTTACTAAATCAGTTTAGTTCCACTGTAAGAGGCAAATACTGTATAGTTCACTTTTTGTTATATTAAAAAAGGTAGTGCAAAAAACTTTCCCTAAAATTAATGTTGTAGACATTCTTTATAATTCTATTGCACCTACACACCACAATTGTGCTGGCAACAGATTCATGTACCTCTTGGGAGCAGGTACATTAATTTCTTGCAGGAGGCAGCCAGCGTTGAGGCTCAAGGTTACTGAGCTCCGTGCTTGGCCACTATGGCCTATCAGCCGAGGAGTTTTGTTGTTGGGTGGGCACAGCCTGATAGGGATGCTGAGAGTCTAGTTTCCCTTGTGGTCCACCACCCTTGTGATTGACAGCAGATGGCAGAGGGAGGACTCCATTGCAGTTAGACAGTCCATGAGCGGTTATGGAATCTGCCCACTGCCGTCTGTTGTCAGACACAAGGAACTTGGACCTGATAGGGAACTAGTTTCTTTATATCTCCATCAGGTTCCACCCACTCTCCCAAGTTCAGCCTTTTTTTTTTTGTTTTCTAGGATGCTGAAGGCCTGTGTCCTAGCAACCAAAGGCAGGGTTAGCATACAATACAGATGGGGGGCACAGTCACAGATGGGGTGCTGCTTTTGAGTGAGTGCTGCTTTGATGGAGTGCTAAGACGCAGTTAAACACAGCAGTCTAATCATGCCTTCCCTGTTTTTCACAGGTACCGTATTTTCCGGCGTATAAGAGGACTTTTTTTACTTAAAAACATACCCCAACAATTGGGGGTCGTCTTATACGCCGGGTATAGAACGCTGGATGTGCGGTAATACTGTATGGCAGCTTCAGCTACATACAGTGTACCGTGCTGAGCCAATCACGGCGATCGATGTATTCTATTAATGAATACAGAGCCTGCTCAGATTGGCTGAAGTTGTGACATAATCAGCCTCTCTGAAACAGCCAATCTGAGCAGGCTCTGTATTCATTAATAGAATACATCACTTGCCGTGATTGGCTCATTTGACGTCCCCCCATTCTCCGCGCATGCGCGGCGATGCGCTGTGTCCCTCGGACACAGCTATCACGGAAAAGCCGAAGATGTCGGCTCGGTCATGTGATCAGCTGTGTCCAATCACAGCTGGTCATGTGATCAGTTGTGTCCAATCACAGCTGATCACATGTAAACAGGGAATTCTCACGCTGACAGCTCGAGAGGAGAGCCAGTAATCTGCTTTCCGCGGAGGGGACATGTACACTGATCATCAGGGCACTGATGATCAGTGTAGCCCCAGCAGTGCCAGCTGTCAGTGTCCATCAGTGCCACATCAATGCCACATATCAGTGCCTACCAGTGCACATCAATGCCACATATCAGTGCCCATCTGAGCTGCCTTTCAGTGTCACCCATCAGTGCCAGTCAGTGCCACCTATCAGTGCTGCCAATCAGTGCCACCTATTAGTGCCAGTCAGTGCCGCCTATCAGTGCCATGTATCAGTGCTGCCTTTCAGTGCCCATCAGTGATGCCTGTCAATGCCAAATGCCAATCAGTGCCGCCTATCAGTGCGCATCAGTGCCGCCTATCAGTGCCATCAGTGCCGCCTATCAGTGCCTGTCAGTGCCGCCTGTCAGTGCCATGTATCAGTGCTGCCTTTCAGTGCCCATCAGTGCTGCCTGTCAATGCCCATCAGTGCCACCTACCAGTGCCTCATCATCAGTGCCCATCAGTGCCACCTATTTCATATGGGTACAGTGTTGCATGACCGTGCAATTGTCATTCAAAGTGTACAGCGCTGAAAGCTGAAAATTGGCCTGGGGGGGAAGTGGGTATAAGTGCCCTGTAGTCTAGGGGTTAAATGGTGTTGCCTCAGAAGGGGGGTAGTCTTATACGACGAGTATAGCCCAAAACCTATGTTTGAACTGGAAAATTAGGGGGTCGTCTTATACACCCAGTCGCCTTATACGCCGGAAAATACGGTAAATGCTGCTATCTGCTTCTCCACTCTAAACTACAACAACACATAGACTCCTGCTATTTCTGGGTAAATGCTGCTATCTGCTTCTCTACTCTAAACTACAACAATGCATAGACTCCTGCTATTTCTGGGTAAATGCTGCTATCTGATTCTCCACTCTAAACTACAACAATGCATGGACTCCTGTGAATTTCAGAACAAATAGTGTATATATATTTTTGTCTGTTGATTAGTTTTCACATCTAGTTGCACTCTTTTTTATGACTGTAGCCTGTGTCTGGTCTGTGTTTGAGAAACATCCCCCCCTATTCATGTGATCTTTATCAATTCCTAATTGGGGCGAAGAAGAGTGCTCATTTGACCATCTCCCTATAAATTTAGATCAGCTCATGGGGGGAATCACAGATGGGGGGGGTACAGTCACTGATGGGGTGCTGCTTTTGCACGAGTGCTGCTTTGATGGAGTGCTAAGACGCAGTTAAACACAGCAGTTGAACTAAAGCAGGATAACTCAAACAGCAGGAAGATACAACAACAAGAAACTCTACTGCATGCTGAACGGACTGCAAGCAAACACCCTGGGAAACATCTTACAAGTCTGAGTCCCACATTGTGTACCTTTTTAATATGTCCCCTCTACTCCTCCTTTTTATATTACTTTCCTGCGTTCCCAAAATCTCACTTCTTTACCCCTCTGCTCCACCCCAAAACTTGTACATCTCATCCTCACTGCTAACATATCCCTACTACTGCTCTCATCACCTCCTGCTGATACTTCACTCTCCTGCTGACCCAAACACCAGGACTGGAAGACATGTGCACTCGTGTACCTCCCGCTCCCATGTTACTTTCCTCACCCTTCTTCTTCTCCTAACCTCTGGGATATCTACCCAAACCCTGGTCCTCCACTATCTCACCCACTCACCAGGCATCCTCTTTCTTCCAGGAATAGCCACAATCCCCTCAATTTAATATCAGTCCCCGTGCTCCCAAAAACCACACTGCCTTTTTCATGTGCGCTCTGGAATGCCCGCTCTGTTTGTAATAAGCTCACCTCTGTCCATGACCTTTTTGTCTCCCGCTCCCTTAACCAACCAGCAATTACAGAAACCTGGCTTTGAGCAGTAGATTCTGCTTCTCCCACAGCACTCTCCTATGGAGACCTCCTCTGGACCCACTTACCCAGACCCAGTGGTCGGAAAGGTGGTGGAGTTGGTTTGCTTCTATCCCCAGTCAGCACCTTTCAAGTCCTTCATAACCCTCCCTCTCTATCCTTCTCTTCCTTCGAGACCCACTGCATCCGGCCTTTTTTTTTTCCCATTTCTCTGAGGATTGCAGTGATCTATCGGCCTCCTGGACCGGTGTGGTGCTTTCTTGATGATTTCTCCGCCTGGCTACCCTACTTTCTCTCCTCTGAACTACCCACTATCATTCTCGGAAATGTTAACATCCCTATTAATGTCAACAACCCGGCTACATCCCAACTCTTCAACATAACCTCATCTTTTGCATTTGCATTACAGTCCTCCACTCACTCTGATAGGAATACATTAGACCTTGTTTTCTCCCACTTTTGCACTCCCTACAACTTCACAAACACCCCCTTTCCTCTCTCTGATCACAATCTCATCACCTTCACAGTGTCCTCATCTTCAAACACCTATCCCTCCAAGCAGCAAACAATTACCCGCAGAAAAGAAACCTTCACAACTTGAACCTTGCTCCTTTACACTCTGCAACTGACCAACTCTACGACAGAATCTCTCCCCTGTCCTGCCCTGACCTGGCACTGCTGTCTATAACAGTTCGCTTTCATCCACATTAGATTCACTTGCTCCTCTAACAACATGAAGCATCAGGCCCCGACCATTACAACCTTGGCAGACTGACGACACCAGAAATCTTAAACGATATAGTCGTGCGCTGGAGCGATTGTGGTGTAAAACCAAATCTCAACAATCATTCACCCTATATAAATGTTCTCTCTTAACATACAAGTCCTCCCTTCATGCTGCCAAACAAGCCTACTTTGTCACTCTTATTAATACCTTGTCACCCAGTTCTCGTCTCTTCTCTACTTTTAACTCTTTACTTTCTCCACCTCTACCCCCACCCAGTACCTCACTCACTGCTCACGAGATTGCAAATCATTTCAAAAACAAGATTGACGCAATTCGTAGAGGCATCGCCACTGCACAGACATCCAACCCACTTAGCATACCTTACACTAAACCTCCCTCAACACTTTCCTCTTTTGACCTTGCTACTACCGAAGAGGTCACTAAGGTTTTCTCAGAAGCCCGTCTCACTACCTGCCCCCTGGATCCTGTCCCCTCACAACTCCTACGGTCACCCTCTTCTTCCATCCTATGCTCCCTCACTCACATCTTCAATCTTTCCCTCTCTACTGGTGCTTTCCCCTCCCCTCTAAAGCATGCGCACATCACTCCCATACTTAAAAAGCCCTCCCTGGACCCCACCAACCTGAACAACTTAAGACCCATCTCCCTGCTGCCATTTACCTCTAAACTCCTAGAACGCTTAGTCTACAATCGCCTGAGCTCCCACCTCACCGACAACAACCTTCTTGACCCTTTACAGTCTGGCTTTTGCTCACTACACTCCACTGAAACTGCCCTACTAAAACTCACTAATGATCTACTAACTGCTAAAACCAATGGCCACTACTCAGTACTCCGAACTCTTACTACTTGACCTCTCTGCGGCTTTTGATACTGTTGACCATCCCCTCCTCAAAAAAAAAACTCCTCTCTTGGCCTCAGACTCTGCTCTCTCCTGGTTCTCCTCTTACCTATTGCAGTGCTCCTTCAGTGTTACCTATAACGCTGCCTCCTCCTCTTCACTCCCACTTTCTGTAGGGGTCCCTCAAGGTTCTGTCCTTGGACCCCTTCTCTTCTCCATCTACACCTCCTCCCTTGGTCACTTGATAAACAAAGTAGAAGATGATTTCTGGTTGTTGTAAAAGAAAAGTGCATTATAGTGTTTACAGCAATCCCATGTCCTCCATCCCATGTCCTCCTACAGTACCATCTCCTCCATCCCATGTCCTCCTCCAGTCCCCCACTGACAGAGCCCATCCTCCAATTACCCAACCCCCCCCCTACTGACAGACCCCTCAGAGCCTCACTTATAATGGTAAAGGGCACACAGCAGGCTACCCAGCAGGGCACAGGGCACACAGCAAGGTACAAGGCGCATAGTAGAGCACGCAGCAGGGTACAGGGCACACAGAAGGGTACAGAGCACACAGCAATGTACAGGGCATACAGCAGGACACACAGCATGGTACAGGGCACACAGAAGGGTACAGGGCACACAGCAGCTACAGTACATGCTTTCTGTATTTACCAACAGCAGCTGTAATGTGTGTAACATCAGCAGGGGGCGGAGCTGTAACAGCGTGTTTTCCTTGCCAAGGAAGCAGAGAGGGGGAAGAGCTTTGGGCTAGATAGATAGATAGATAGATAGATAGATAGACACATACAGCTATCCATGAAATTCTATTGATATCAATTGTACTTAATTGGTTTATGGCATCATATGGTTACATCAATCTAAAGGTACACTCATCTCCATGTAGGAGCAGCTAATAGGGTACTCCTATATAGCATGTAGAGGTAGGCCTTTGGCCTCAAACCTACTTTGTGGATCAGAACGAGAGAATATTTTATCCAATATTACCACCTTATGACAGGACAACATTAGGGTTCTATTTGTTGAGATGTGCAAATATCTCATCATTTTACACAAATGTAACAAGTAATGCCCAAAATGTTTGTAATATGTGTGTAATATCAGTTTCTATTTGTTTTCTTTTGACAGGTGAATGTACCATTCCCCAAAAGACGATCCTAAGAGAAATATATACTTAAGAACATTCAACCATAAGAGTTAAAGAACATTCACCAACAAAGAAAATAGCCTAATGCTATAAGCTAAGAATATTTTACCAGTAGGGGAAATAATATGAAGGAGACCTCAACGTCGTGTATAGTCTATAGAGATTCCTATGGGAACTGCTGAGAAAATTGCACAATTAACACAATGGTTTTCATCTAGAGGCTGTCAAAGGTGCATGTGCAAAGCAATCTCCAGACCTTACTAGTACCTCAGAGAAACGATACATTGCTGATGGATTGTTTGCTATTTTGTTACAACAACCAAACATAAGGCTGATATATGTAAACTTTTCATAGATACTGGTCACTTTTCAATTATGATTCTACCAGTTGTAGACATTTTACATGATACCCTTCTATCATAGCAAGAAGAGCCTCAAGCTTGGAAGAAAAGCTGTGGAGAAGTCATTTGTCAGGCCAGTTACAGTGTGCACATAAATTGGCGGGCAGTTATTCATGTGGCTCATGTTTAACTTACCAGTATATGATTTGTACTGACCACGTCCAAAATGGTACTAAACTGTTTCAAATTTGAAGATTCATTGCTTCCTGCACTATGAGAGTGGTTTACATTCTACAATGACCTAAAATGTACGTAGATCACAGCCAAAATGAACTGAAGGATATAGAAGCATACAATATGTCCAACACTATCGACTATCAAGGTCGACTTGGTGGAGGGGGGATTATGGTGTGGGGTTGTTTTTCAGGGGTTGGGCTTAGCCCCTTAGTTCCAGTGAAGGGAACACTGCATCAGCATACCAAGACAGTTTGGACAATTTCTGCTCCCAACTTTGTGAAAACAGTTTGGGGATGGCCCCTCCCTGTTCCAACATGACTGTGAACCAGTGCACAAAGCAGGGTCCATAAAGACATGGATGACTGAATTTGGGGTGGAGGAACTTGACTGGCCTGCAAAGTCTTGACTTCAACCTTTGGGAACACCTTTGGGATGAATCAGAGCGGAGACTGCGAGCCAGGCCTTCTTATCTGACATCAGTGCCTGACCTCACAAATGCTCTTCTGGGAGTATGGCCAAACATTCCCATAGACACACTCCTAAACCTTATGGACAGTCTTCCCAGAAGAGGTGATGCTGTTATTGCTGCAAAGGATGGGTTAACTGAATATTGAACCCTACGGACTAAGACTGGGATGCCAGTAAAGTTTATGTGTGTGCAAAGGCAGACGTCTGCACACTACTGTTCAAAAGTTTAGGCAGGTGTGAAAAAATTTAAATTATAATGCTTTCAGAAATAGAAGTGTTAATAGTTTATTGTTATCAGTTAACAAAATGGAGAGTAAATGAACAGAAGAGAAAATCAAATCAACATTTGATGTGACCCCCTTTGCCTTCAAAACAGTACCAATTCTTCTAGGTAAATATGCAACAAGTTTTTGAAGAAACTCGGCAGGTAGGTTGTTCCAAATATCTTGAAGAACTAACCACAGATCTTCTGTGGGTGTAGGTTGTCTGAAATCTTTCTATCTTTTCATGTAATCCCAGACAGACTTGATGATGTTTGGATCAGGGCTCTATTGTGGACCAAACCATCACTTCCAGGACTCCGTGCTCTTCTTTGCGCTGAGTATAGATCTTAATGACATTGGCTGTATATTCAGGGTCCTTATTCTGCTGCAGAATAAATCACACGCCTCCCTGATGGTATGGCATGATGGATAAGTATCTGTCTGTATCTCTCAGCAATGAAGACACCATTGATCCTGACCAAATCTCCAATTCCATTTGCAGAAGGAGCTCCAATTCCAAACTTGCAAGAAGCCTCCACCATGCTTCGCTGTTGCCTGCAGACACTGAATATTGTATCACTCTCCAGCCCTTCGGTGAACTGCTACCTGCTACAACCAAATGTTTAAAATTTTGACTCATCAGTCCAGAGCACCTGCTGTCATTTTTCTACAAATCAGTTCCTATGTTTTGTGCATAGTTGAGTCACTTCCAGGGGCGGACTGACCATTCGAGCACTCGGGCACTGGCCGAGGGCCTGGGGTCAGTAGGGGGCCCCATGAGATGCCCCTGGTACCTTTTCATTGGCTTTTTCATAGGCTTTTTTGGGTGTGGGCAGAGACACAGGGGTCCCATGATCCCCTACTGCCCGGGGGGCCCCATGAGTTGTCAGTCCGCCCCTGGTCACTTCCCATGTAAGAGGTATGTTTTGTTTGGCCACAATTCTTCCATAAAGACCACTTCTGGCCAGACTTCTTCAGACAAAAGATGGAAGTCCCTTTGGTTTCCACCAGTTTTGTGCTGATGGCACTGCTGAACATCTTTCTTCGAAGGGAAGTAAGCATAAAGGGGTTTATTTACTACAGCTGGTTCACTCAGAATCTCGTGCACCTGTGCATGGCAGCTAATCAGCTTCTAACCTCACCTTGTCCAATTAAGCTTTAGCAATAAAACCTGGAAGCTGATTGGTAAATAAACCCCTATGTGTCTTTCATCTGCTTCATTAAGTTTCCTTGGCTGACCGCTGCGTCTACAGTCCTCAACATTGCCTGTTTCTTTGTGCTTCTTTAAAAGAGCTTGAACAGCACATCTTGAAACCACAGTTTGCTCTGAAACCTATATCTGTAAGAGACATTTTTGATGCATAGAACTACTTTGTGTTTTGTAGCTGTGCTCAGTCTTGCCTTGGTGTATGACCTGTGACATGAAACTGTCTTCCATAACATCATCTTAGTAGCAGAGCCTGGCTGTTCCTCACCCATTTTAAGCCTCCTACACTGCTAGCTATAACTGTCAGGACTGATTGTTCAGGAAAAACTCAACAGGCTGGTTGTATGCAAGTCAGTTGTTAAATTGACTTGTGTACAACCAGCTAGCGCATGCATAGATCAAAATTCGATCAGTCCCTGTTGAAGCTGCCAAATTTGATCCCTGTATGGCCTGTCCCTACCTCACATGCACACACATACTAGGGCCAATTTCGACAGGATCTATTCAGCCTTCTAGCATTTCTTTGTAAATCTACCTAGCAGAAACCCATTCAAGTACAGAGAGAACATGTAAACTCCATTCAGATAGTGTCCTAACCAGGATTCAAACCAAGGACGCTGGTGCTGCAAGGCATTACTGCAAACCACCCATGCCTTTAATTGTTTTTAACCTTTCTGCATGTACACATGTACATATTGTTGTGCTCTTGTATAATACATGTTTTTTCATTTCCACAATAAAGTTATTTATATAATTTAAACATATTTATTGATTATTTGTATTTTGTGCAGACCTTTGTGTTGATGTAGACTTTTGTTTAAATAAGGGATTTTTTGGTCAGTTGTTATGGTACAAACTTCCAGGAGAGTAGTGAGTAAGACAGGTAGTGAGTTAATCAACAGTAAGTGAATTTAAATAAGCTTGGGACAAAAATCAATCCTTATTCATACTAAAAGGTTAAAAAAAACAACATAAAAAGGACAGATTTAATGGGCTACTTTGGTCTTTTTCTGCTATCCCAAGTCTATGTTTCTGATGCCAGCAAACAATGGTGGGATCCCCCATTGCACTGTGATGCCATCCGCCAGCTGCTACATCAGAAGTGTGTCCCTTTAGAGCTGCAGAAATGGCATCAGACACCCCAGGAAGTGTCAGGAGCCAAAGATTCCACAAGCAGGTGTAGCTCTGCAAGAAAGAAAATATTCCATTCACCAGGAGCAAGACTGGTAAATATTATTTTTATTTTATTTATTTTTTTACTTTTTACAGGTACTTATATAGTGCCATCAATTTACGGAGCGCTTTACATATATATTGTGCATTCAGATCAGTCCCTAACCCTAAAGGAGGGTTAGGGAATGTGAGTTAGGGACCTTGGATTGTAAGCTTACAATCTAAGGTCCCTAACTCACATTCATGCATACACATACTAGGGTCAATTTAGACAGGATCCAATTAACCTACATGTCCTTGGAGTTTGGTAGGAAACCGGAGTACTCAGAGGAAACCCATGCAGGCACGGGGAGAACATGCAAACTCCAGGCAGGTGTTGCCATGATTGGGATTCAAACCAACAACCCTAGTACTGCCAAGGGGAAGTGCTAACCATTTAGCCACTGTGCTGCCCAAGTATTAATATTACGTATGATATTTTTAAAGGTCCCCTTTTGATAAATTGTTTTTAAGCAACAGAGTTGATTTAAACAGTCCAATAACATTATAGCAACTAAGGTAGACAATTACACTACATAGGTATTTTAACATACAGTACAAATAAGTTATATTTTTTAAAAAGCCTTTTATTAGATATTAAAGATTGTCAGCATTGCTTTTACTCCCATTTGTTCTTTCTTCATCTACCTCATAGTTCATAAATCTGAACTTTAGTAGTACATATTAGGATAGTCTCGCCATTCGATATAAACACTCTGTTTGGGGACACAGCTGTGACATTCTCATACATTCCTCAGGACAGTCCCCCTCCTTTATTCTCCTCATTCACCCCCCTTGCTTTGCTCTGTAATAACCAAAATGGCTCAGCATCTTGCCCCCAGGCTCTGACGGGTCCGGAGTATTCCAGGGAGATCTGATCAGGATTGGTGACACAAGAGATGAGTCTGCTATGAATTCATTGTTGGTAGAATGGGTCCCTTGTTCTCTTGCTTCCTACAGAATTTCTGGTTTAGAAATTATCTGTTAACCCTTCCTGTCCCTGGGATTCAAATAATTACTGCCACAGACTAATAGTTATCCCATCACCACAAATAGTTACCTTTTGTTCAACCTGCATTTTATATATTTTTTTCAATTCCTGTTTTATAACATTTTCTTTTTTCCTGGCCTTTTCTGATTTACAATTGTCTTCACTAATATTTTTTCTGGACATGTTAGTGTTTTCACCCTGAGCACAATGAGGTTTATTGACTAAGGCTGGTCATACACAGATGGACCTTTTAGAGAAGATTCAACAAAAGTTCAATTAAATCTCAATACGTCAAACAACAAAATCACAACATTCGAACCACAACATCGATTGTTAACAAAACACATACATGGGAGCTATGGGTCAAAATAATTTTCCTACTGGTTGCAAATTCACTATCTACAGACAATGATTTTTTTAAATGTAAATACAAATTAGTTTTTATAGTATATACTGCAACGTTTTGACATATAAATGACCACCTACACTCAAATAAATTACCACCTAAATAAATAAATAAATAAATTATAAACAGCCACCTACACCCACCAGTTCACATCACCTGCAATCATTTAAATTAAGAATTATTCAATATAGGTCACAACTGCAGCATCTGTCTGATTATATCATTTCTTTTTTTTTGACCTGCAGTGATTCTTCACCTATTGCCATTGTTTCTGTGCTATGCCTTGGTAACTGTCCTGAACTTTTATTGCCCTATGCCTGCTACCTGCATTTCTGTAAACCCTGTTATACCCAAAAAACTGTAAATAAATAATTTAGAAAAAAGAAAATGAATTACAACTTCCTAAATATCACCCTAGAGTATGCACAGAGCTATGATGATATATTAACAGGGAAACATAACAGACACTCAGAAATAATTTTTTATTGTACCAACAAGACTTGTCTCGTAGGTGTTACTTTACTTTGTATGCTATGACTGCCCCAGTTATTAATTAAGATATTTCCAGTATCATAATGATTTATTTCAGATGGGTGGCAGGTGCTAGAAATATATCTGCAACTGGTTACTATCATTAACTAGTTCCATATGTGTAACAGGTGCTCTTAGTTATGTAGCAAGTGCTGCCATAACAGCTTCCACATGTATTCTAACTAGCAGCAGGCAGACGTGTACCATACAGAGGGCAGATGTTGCTAGTGAGTCAAATGTATACAGCAGACCTCAGATAACTAGCTACACATGTGCAGCACAGATAAGTTATTGACCTCATATGCATGGCTATTTTAACAAGACTGTCCAACTGCATGATGATGGCATGAAATGTTATTGTTCACCGTTATGAAAGAAGTTTACTAAATTGGACTGCTATCTTCCCTGGATAAAAGGACTAATAGATAAGCAGATCTCATGTCTTACTTTAGGTAGCTCAGTCTTTATTTTGTTCATAAAGGGTCAACCAGAGAATAAAGCTACACTCTAGGCAGACTGATAAATACACAGGTGAAATACATATGGAGTGGTATTACCTGCCAAAGGATTTTTTGTGATTCTACACAACCAGTATATTACATTTTAATATATTTATAAACGATATAGGGCCTGGGATTAAAAATATAATTTCAGTCTTTGCAGATGACACCAATCTGTGCACTGGAATAACATCCTTACAGGATGTCTCCAACTTACAAGCCGACCTCAATGCACTGTTTAATTGGGCAGCTATGTGGCAAATGAGGTTTAATGTTGACAAAATGTAAGGTTATGCACTTGGGGGCTAAGAATATGCACCCATCATACATACTGGGGGGGGTACAACTGGGGGAATCAATGGTGGAGAAGGATCTGGGAGTTCTGGTAGATCACAAGCTTAATAATGGCATGCAATGTCAAGCTGCAGTTTCTAAAGCGAGCAAAATCCTCTCTTGTATTAAAAGAGGTATAGACTCCAGAGAGAGAGATATCATATTACCCCTGTACAAATCATTAGTAAGACCTCATCTGGAATATGCCGTTCAATTTTGGGCACCAATTCACAAAAAGAACATTGGGGAACTGGAGAAAGTACAGAGAAGGGCAACCAAACTAATAAGAGGCATAGAGGAGCTCAGCTATGAGGAAAGATTAGAGGAACTGAATTTATTCTCTCTTGAGAAGAGGAGATTAAGGGGGGATATGATCAACATGTATAATTACATCAATGGTTCATATAGTAAACTCGGTGTAGAGCTATTCACCCTGAGGTCATCCCAGAGGACAAAGGGGCACTCTTTACATCTGGAGGAAAAGAAATTTAATCTCCAAATACAGAAAGTTTCTTCACAGTAAGAGCTGTGAAAATGTGGAATAGACTCCCTCAAGAGTTGGTTCTGGCCAGTTTAGTGGATTGCTTTTAAAAAAACCTGGATTCTTTCTTTGATACACAGAATATAACTAGTTACTAACATTTATATGTAAAATTGATCCAGGGAATATCCGTTTGACTCTCAGGGGACCAGGAAGGAATTTTTTCCCCTGCAGAAGCAAATTGGATCATGCTTTGCTGGGGGTTTTTTTGCCTTCCTCTGGATCAACTGTGGGTGTAGGATTCTAACTTTTTTTTGTAGTGGTTGAACTGGATGGACTTTTGTCTTTTTTTCAGCCAGACTAACTATATGACCAAGGAAGCATTTGCAGCAGCTTGATCTCCACTGCACCAGCAGCAGA